TAGGATTCCCCTTGAAATGCTACTTCCATGGCCAACAACCAGACCAGTATGTACTTATAAATGTTTACTATAAGTACCATTATGCAACACTGCAGAGTCAAGTATAGCCAATCCATACTTTATACATTGCCAAAACATTTTAAAAATGTTTTATGTACTGCAAAGAAACAGGAAGGACTTAATAAAGTGAGATAGCAAGAACTCAAATATTTAATATTCTGCACTAGCATAACAAGAAATATCCAAACACTAAATACATTAATTGTCAAACTACATTAACAAAGTACATTTTATAGGGCATTATGCTAATTATGTGTGCTCAAATACCTTCTAAATCCAAAAGATTCAGTAATTTCTGTTATGGGTAAGTCCTATAGAATTTAATAGAAAATATTCACCTTTCTACAGGGCTTTGGTTCTTTTTTTTTCTTTTTTTTTTTTTTAAATAGTTCATAATAGTCCAACAGAAAAGTATTCTGTTACAGATTTCTATAAATGGTTCAAAATCTTACAAAATGGATATCCTCCATTCATTTATATAGACTAATTATTATGGAACACTATTGGGTTTTTATAAAATTCTACTGGTTTCACCATTATTACATTACCAAATGTTTCTATCAGGGCTCTAATGAGCCTCATAGCCACTGGAAGGAGCTATTCAGTTCTACTGTAACCATACATTCCAGTCCATCACAAAAATACTCAAGAGTCAGCATTCTGGTGAGTGTGACATTTTAAGGAAAACCAATTAGAAACCATGATAGGAGTCAGCACTGATAGGAACTTTACAGAATTCCCACAACTCCACAGGGCATGACACTGCATCCAAAAGAGTAAGCGTAGAAAATAAAAGTTTTACTTTTCCTACAATCAAGCTTCATTGAACTAGGAGTATTAATTTTTTATTTTTTTTTACTCAGCAGGGCAAGGCTAGCTGACTGTCAACTTATACTTCTATGCCTCTATAGAAGGTGGTCTTGAAGGCTTAGTGTCATCTGGGGATATCTTTAAAAAGAGCCATCCAACATCTTTAGTTTCTCCTCTATATATTGTTCTGGGCCTATGTGCTACCCCAATGATAGGCATTATGTCGTTCATTTTTTGTCGCAAGATGCAGTCTGAAACTCTGAAAATTGATGACAAACTTGACCCAAAGGCAAGGAGAGATGCAAAAAAAAAACAAACCCCTGTTATGAACAATTTTATTTACTGTAAGAAAAAAATATATACATATAAAGGAAGGCTTTCTAAATATACAAAGGAATAGACTGTTGTTTTAAGGGGGGAAATATCATATGCTACTATAGTATGAAGCAAAGGGGCTGTAATCAAGAAAAGAGCCCACAACAAGCTATCTGTAAAGTTGACTTCGTAATCACAAACATTCCTCTTCATGCATATTTGTACCAGAAAGATACTGGAAGCCAGCTTATAACAGAGCAGGTCTATGTGACAAAATCCTTAATTTCAAATTCAAATCAAGAGCTAAGCTGTCCTCAAGTCCAGGAATAAGCATTAGGGACATTTTGTACATATGGATAATCACAAGTACCTGTGTAACATTAGATATATCTAATGCTCTACTTTTCCTTTCCAGAAGCCTTGAGAGACAGCCTTTTCAAGTCTGGATCGAGTTAACCACCATTATGGGCAGAGATACACTCCTTGGAAATTTCAGAAGAATAAACCAGAAAAATCAGAGTTCACAAACCAGGCTTGCCAAATCCTGGCACTCTGTTGCCTTGCAAGAACTTGGAAGGGAGATTAGTCTGCAAATTGGTCGGTAACTCTGAACTGAAGTCAAGAACCTATTTTTTAAACACACAGTTCTTTACATTTTATTCCAGAAAGTTTAAACTTTTTATATGGGATTGTTGCCATCTTATATTTGCCAAAACTCAATTTGATGGAAGATGAACACTTCACAGGAACTCTTCAACAAATAGCTACTGACCACACTTGTTGACAAAGGCCAATATGCTTCAGGCTATGCAATGCAGAAAATTCAATGCCAGCTGGCAGCAAGCAAGGATTTTCCTTAAACAATAATAATCTAATACCTGTGATGGCTGGATTCCACTGAAGCTGCGTGACTCATTCTAGTAGTGCCTGAGCCAAAAGCAAGTGGTGAGTGGCTACGGATATTTATACTGCAGAGTAATCACAAGCCTTTTTACTAGTACTATCTATTTTCTTGTCTACAGGGTCTCAGGAAACAAAAATTGCCTACTAGAGGTAAGGAATGCTTACTTATACAGGAGGTAACTGTTATGTCCACTTTCAAAATAACCCCCACGCAGGTTTTGCTTTTACCAGGAGAGCCTACAGCTTAGAGACATGATTAGAAATGGTTGTTTTAGAATCCAGTATTTATCAGGGTTTACACAGTAAGATGAATGGGAAGTATGCTAACTTGAGCATTTTCCTGTATGAGTCTCAGGCCTTCTGAGGGCTTCCTAATGGGTTCTGGGGCAAGATGCAATGCTGTACCTATGCCAAGGGGTTTGGTTTTTTTAAGTCAACTTTTTAAAGTTTGATCTCTCCCACTTGATTCAGAGAAGTCAAAAAAGAATCTGAAAAAAAATCCCTATCTTTAAAGATAGTATCAATGGAAACAGGTCCTTTCACCATCTTCATTCTAGCTAACTAGAGGACCATCTTTACTGTCTGATAATACAGAAGGTCCCAGATTATCTAGGATGCTAATAAGGGATAATCTGGGGATCACAAGAAGAGGGACAGTGACTGAATGCCTTATTTTCAAATTTAAATTTGGCTGATGAAGGGATCTCGTCTTTTTCACTTCCTTTGTAGCACCCTGTGCATTAAAAGAAGGTTGAAGTGACAAGAGGGGATCTGAAGCAGAGATACAGTGTGCTGTTTACATCCCAGCATGATAAAGTAGACCTACCTATATAGTGGCTCAACATACTGATGAACATGTTGATAATCTCAACCCAACATTCAGCATTGTCTATCTAGACAACAATGCATCGGATATATTCCTGTCACCCAAGTTGTTTTTAACTTAACTTTTCTCTAAATTTCTCCCTTTATATATAATCTTTTAAATTTAAAGCAAGTTGGAATCAACACCAATTAACCAGTGGTGTAGGAAAATAAAACTCGTGTGTAAAAGGCTCTAGAACAGCCCTGATTTCATGTTCAGAGGACCAAAAACCAAGAGAGGAAAACCTTGAAGAGAGTTAATGTCCAATGAATGGAACTGCTGGTTTTATTTTTCTATATAAGAAAATAAAAATCAAGTTTTTGTGGAAGAAATTTGAGAAAACAGTGCATTTGATAGAAGCATAAGAGATGAAAAATATCACTGTTGTTCATCAAATGGTTATATATTTTAATCTTGTTTTAACATTTGCTCAAAAAGCTCTCTTTCAAGTTTCTGGACTTTAACTCCTTACACAAAGTGAAAGTAAACACAAATAATTAAATCACTTCAATCTATCACAAGATAATGCAAATCTGAATGCATTTTTATGCTATAAATGAAGACTAGCAGTGAAAGCAAGAAAAATCTTCTTGTAGTCAAGGTAATTATTTCAACAGAAATGCTTTAGATTAGTTGACCAAAACCACATCAAGGTTCAAATAGCGTGTATAACATCCTACTTTATATCACTCTCACTTACTACATGATGATGTACATTTTAAGATTCTTCTATTTCCTTTAAGGAAAGCACTACTTAGATAACAACTTGAATAATTAAGGTTTTAGAAAATTATCTAGAGACAGACCTTACTTTTTACCCATTAAAAGTACTCAACAGTGTCTAAGAATAAACCTTCTCAATTTAAACTTCATCCATTATGCACCTAAAAAGCAAATAGATATTAATACTATGCTTCATTATCAAATTACTACTAATTTCTCTCTCCCCTACTGTTTGTTTCTATGGCTAATTTTAACCTGCTTTTCTTTATGCAACATGCAAATAATATCAAAATATTTTTCCTAAAATTAGATTCATTTTTGTTCTCATCAGAAATACCATAATACATGTATTTCCTTACTCTGTCATTGTCACCATAGCTGGTCTCATTTAATGACTGAAGTATACTACAAGAGCAGATTTTTAAAAAATTTGTTTACCTTTCAGTTAAAATTACATCTATGGCTCGAGTTATATAACTCAAAAATGTTATCTGCCAATCAGCATAGTGATTTGAGGTACTGACAACTAATGTCATGCAATGGTTCCATTCTAAACCTCCTGTTCATGACTGGGCAAGCTTTTTTTTTTTTTTAAAGCATGCTACTGCCCAAGCTTTCATACATGCTGAAATATTCCACTAAGATGTAAAACACTGCCAACACACTTATACACCAAACATTCAAGAACAACTACTGAAAATTACTATCTTCACTAAAAAAAAATAATAAAACAGCTACAAGGTATCTAGCCAAGAAAATATGCTGACCCCCCACCATGCAGCCTATATCCCCCTAAAGATCATTTCAACATGGTATCCAGCATATTTTCCTACATTAAGCAAATTTCTAATAAAGACATTTATGCCAGTCAGATCTAGCAGGGTATAGAGACTTGTTTGCAGAGATGAAAAAGTGGCTGGTCACGTCCTTCACTCACTTGTCCCAGGGGGCGTTCAGCCAAGCATACATTAGCAAAATTGTCTATAGTATCCTCTTTATAAATAAGGCTGCTTGGGAGGTGGATACAGAGCTGTAACAACAAGAAGCATAGCTTGTGCTTTCTCCTACCTTTTCATGGATATTCACAAACCAAAAGCGATATTGAGGGGAGTCTCACGAGGCTGGACACTCGGTAGCCTCATGTGGCATTCTAAGCACCACATTTCATCTGTCTAGGTTTTAAGTATTCTGAGAAAACCACCCTGACATGCACAGAATGAATCCTGCTCAAGTTGGAAGCATGTGATAACTAGGGTTCAGATTTAACAGAAACCCACCCCCAACACTCAATTAATCCTGTATTTTTAAACAAACACCACCTTACCGTTTTGCTGTTGTCTGGCTCAGGTTAGATTCACCTGCAACTCTTTAACATGTCTCTAGCAATGTTAATGTTTGCAGTCAGGCCGGGCTCATTCAGCAACTGAATTCACAACATCTTTCTGCACTAGCAAGCTGAAATGATACGGCTGTACTACAGCTAAGAAAGGGGGAAATCTAAAGCAGAAAACAAAGAAATCCCTAAAGACAAAATAATCCCAGCAGAGTGTAATATAAAAAGTACAGAAGAATACTGAAGGCACAGTATTTCTCTGTCTAAATTTCATCAGCAATACAATGTTCTTTCTAAAAAGATATTTTTACAAATCTGATGGACTTGCCTGTAGAGTTCCCAGGAAGGCAGACTATCCAGGCTCTGCAGCAGCATTGCAGCCAAAGTAACCATGCATATGCTGTCTAGGCAATTTAAGGCAGTGTCTTTTTGAAAAGATACTGATTTACAGCGTAGTGCTGCTCCAACAGAACACAGAACTAGAGCCAAAATAGCTAATGATGATTTCATAGGAACTGAGAAAAACCATTTAATCGAAAGGATACAACTAATCATGCCAAATGCAATTATTGCCCTAGTACCAAAGGAAGCCAGTAAATTCATGAGTAACAAATGATGTTAAAATAATAATCTAAGGGCATCTGGAAATGAACGTAGGGGTACTGTGGCTCAATTTAATTAAGAATGCATACAGTTGTTTTATAAATTTCATATAAAAGCATCCAAAATGTGGGATTACCAAATGTATAGTTTGGTAATCCCACAATTTGGATATGCTTTTATCTTTGGATATGCTATCAGTTTAATAAAATATTAAGTTGGGTAATGACCGACTTAATATTAAATTCACAATGTATACAAATTCACAATGTATAAAATAATTTAATAAAATAATAACTAACCCCCAAACCATCTACCTTCTGCTTGGAACTCACTGCTGAGCCCCACAGAAACTGGGTGTGGTACATGGGAAAGAGGTCAGTGTGGGCAAGGCTTGCCAACTATGGTATCTCAAAAGAAGGCAGCATATCTTCTGCATCCCCTGCTCTCATAGCAACCCCTACTGGTCAATGCATACTGTATACTTGATAATGACTGGCAGTAAACCTCCACGCTGGAGGTAAGGGACTACTAACTATACTTACTGACAGAGGGTTAGTAATAAGGCACGAGCCCAAACACAAGAGGTGGATTAAACACAGATCACCCTAGATGACTTAAGGAAATATCCTCTGCTTTACTCGGACCAAAGGCAAAGCCCTACCCAAAATAACAGTATTGTTGCATAGCTCTGAAAAACTACAGTAGACTAAAGTAGTTCTTCATCCAACTTCATCAAATCCTAGTGATTCAACACTGACGCCCCAACTAAGCAAGAGCACACACCAACTGCTGAAACTTCCTTAGCCTGATGAAGGGTTTTTGAACCCGAAAGCTTGCTTAATAATTATTCTCCAGCTATTTGGGTTGGTCTAATAAAAGATATCAAATTCACCCAAGGAACCTTGTCTGCCAACTAAGCAAGGTATTCAGTTATACAGCAAGTACACCTCCATTCTGAAATGTGCAAGTTCCACAGAAATCAGTAAGATTTAAACACAGGCTTTAATGCTTCTTAAATCAAGGCCCAGATTTGTTAATGAGCTGAATAAATTTGTCAGATAGCAACATCTGCAGTAACAATCAGAAAACTCAAACGAGTATATGAACTTTATAAGATGTTGCTTCAGCATCTGAACATCTTCAGAAGTTATTTTCATCTACTTTTCAATGCCATGCTACATGCTGCCTTTGAAAATGGGGTTTAAGGTGGAAAAGGCTAGAAAAGCCTACTTTGAGGCCATAGGCAGACAAGGTTCCTTGGGTGAATTTGATATCTTTTATTAGACCAACCCAAATGGTTGGAGAATAGTTGTTAAGCAAGCTTTCGGGTTCAAAAACCCTTCGTCAGGCTAAGGAAGCTTCAGCAGTTGGTGTGTGCTCTTCCTGGATGGAATGAAACTTTGAGGCCAAGTATTTATAGCATTCATATTTTTCATATTTCTATACCTTTTGTATTTCCCTGGCAGAACAGCTGTGGACCTGAAAGGGAAGGGCGGGAAAGGGATCTGAAAAGCAAATTTCACTGAAATGGTAGAAGTCAGGACTGCCAGTGACATACCCAGCATTTATTTCAGGCAGCCTGAAGACCTGTGAAAACAAAAGGTATGTCTAAACTGTGATGATAGAAGAGCTAGCTCAGAACACTTCCAGTCCCATTCCTCAACTGTCTTTAAACAAAGTTTAGCTACTAGCACAGAAATGTTTTGGTGCTGCTTATGGTACCACAGATGCAAGGTGGGGCTGGAAAACCTGGATGACAACCAGTAAAGTTTGGAATTAAGAATGATATTTGGAAACCTATCTAATAGGTGGCCCTGGTAGTACAGGAGGTTTTCATAAGGCAGGCTTTGCGCGTGTTGGGGGGGGACATTTCTAAGGAAATTCTCTCTGTGTGAACTAACACATTTACTTAAAAAAATCTAACACCAAACTTCTTTAGTTTTCTAAAAACTGATTAGAACTACAACAGAATTTATTACTCTAATAGGATAAAAGCAAAGTAGCTGGGGGCTACATGCCCTATGGGCCACAGCAGCACAAGACATTGACCCTGGGCCACACAGCACGTGGCTCCCCCAGCCTCACCCCCCCTCAGGTCCCCAGCTGCAGGCTCCTCAACTGCACCACGCCACACAGGGGCTCTGGAGGCTGCACCACAATGCCCTGCACCCCCAGGCAGTGGCAGGAAGTAGCAGCTGGAGAAGGTGGGGGAGCCTGGAGACCCCAGCTGCTGCTGCTGCAGCATGGAGTAATAAAGGGGAGGGATAACTGCATGGAAGCCCAGGGGGTGCAAATTAACCACTCATGGACCATATGTGGCCCTAGGACCACCAGTTGGACAGCTCTAACCTACATAATGGCACAGCTCTGACAGTAAGTCAACCAAGTATGCAATCCATGATTTATTAATATAATAGCAATATTTATTAATATTGCATATGTTAATATATTTCTAATATAGTGATGAGAATGACAATAAAAATACTTCTGTATGTTCGTATTGTTTAAATTCAGTTTTCATAATTTTTTTTGCTATTAACGGAGTTGTTTTTTTCCAAACCCTGGAAGACAGGGTTGGAGAAAGAAGGGCAACTCACTGGGCACTCCAATAATAGTAATCAGGATAGGTTGTGGTCTCTGTACATCCATATAGACAAGAATTTCATGGCCGCTAAGGAAGAACAGTTAGGAGAGCAATGTTCAATCAAAAGTTTGACTGTTGCAGCAAACAGTCAAAAAAAAAGTAATATAGTGATGTACTCAACAATTTGAAAAGTAAAGATAGCAGATGTCTAGCTACATGATGAACAAAAAGTGAGAAACTTGACTGATTCCCAACACAACTAGACAATCTTTGAAAAATATTTACAAACACAGGACAATAACGGCTTTTTTGGGTTATCACACCCAGTCGCCTGCTATCACAGGAAAACAAGAAGTATAATCTCTTTCACAAAATGATCACACTTTCTTCTCATTAAACCCTTTGCCATGTAATAAACAAGATGACCACAAAAAAAACAAAAAGAAAAAAAAGAAAAATCAACTGTGACAAAAGTGGACAGATGCCTACATGTACAAGTTACACCTTACAGCCAGGTACAGACATTATACTTTTAACAGTATAAGGGATTGAAAACCAGGCTATACCCATAACAGAACAGAAGTTCAGCACATACAGACTGGTTTAAAAATGGCGAAACCCAGTCTAAGATTCGCCCCATCACACCAAAGGGCAAATATGTGTTCTGTTCACTACCAATCTAAACTATGCTGCTTACAGAAAACCGTGCAACTTAGACTGATTCCACACTGGGCTTTTTGAATGCCTGTACCTGGCCTAGAAACTGTCAATGATACAGTTTTTAGAGGAGAATGTACTGCATTTTTTAAAAAAGTTATTTTGAATCAAGGGTGCTATTCAACTTATTTTGCTAATGCAAATATTTGAGCACAGCCATAACACCTACATTCTCCCTCATGATGCTTCCTTTAAAAAGCCACTGTCAGTAAAAAGGCAACTGTGGGTCATGCTTCATCGTTAAATGTCTTTGCTACTTTAAGGTACAAATAAATATCTTATACAGTTTAGTTTCTGAATCATTTATGCATGACTAAATATATTTTGCTTTGAAAAAAGCTTCAAAATATTTTTCTGATTTAAGTTCAAAGGTTTGGAGAACCCTGACATGTATGTATAACTACATAAAATGCTTCATAATTTTTGGTAGTTTAAGAGTAATGATGGTCCTGAAATTAAGCGAAATGCAAGGATTCCTTAGGATGATCTCTTTTATTGGACCAAGTGGAATAGAGTTGGACAAGCTTTTGAATGCAAGAAATCTTGGAAGTCAGTCACTTTCAGATTTAATCAATTTAATTAACTAATTACTTATATAAGATTAATCCAGTTCCATGTCTAATAGTCAGTGTTGAGTAGTTACATCATCCAACTGAAAAATATTAATTAGAAACTTCTACAAAAATAATGGTGCTCCATATGCACCATAAAAATAAAAGCTAAAGTCCATAGTGACCTAAACCAAGGAAAATTAAACATGCAGTCATATATGGTTACCTTTCAAGAATTGACAAGTTAGATGAAATTGTAACAAATGTATAGTGCTCCTGATGATTATTATATGACACTTTGGCTCGACACTACTGTGGTTTATTTGTCTCATGAATGGAAAGTGGATTTTTTACCTCGGGGGACTAGGTATACAGTAGGGCTATGTAAAGCTTCAGGTGCTGATTTGATTCAGAGGAGATTTGGCCTGATTCAGTGGCCAAATCTCCAAATCAAATCAGGCCCCACCCCCTGCCTGCTCCCCTAGCCCCCCGAGCACCCCAAACCC